TGTAGCCTCATCTGTCCACATTATGTGAATGCAGCCGTACAGGGCCTCTCCTTTGCTACAAAATCTTTGTTGTTCTCTGCTTGATTTTTGCAACAGAAACCTCTCCCCTCTTCCTTCACAGAGCAGCATAACCAGACAAAGATTTCATCCTGGATTCTGTTTTCAGTGTTTCCGGCTCCTAGAGGTTCCAAGTCAGTTTGAGGAGCCCATAGTAAGCGCTACGTATCCTGAAGCTCCTTTTCCTGTCCCATGCAGATTGCTAGATTCTACTTGAAACAGGCAGAATAAACTCAACGGATGAGGTCATATAAAATTACTTTTATTTTCCAGGTATCCTCAAAACATTAACTCACAGTTATTGCAGAAGTTCTTCTGGAATGTATGTTGTAATCTGGACTCATCGTGTAGGTAAAGGAATAATGGATTTCCCCATCCTACGTAAATCTTACATGCTGATTCGGTGCTCCTAGCCTAGCCATGCAGCTAGGATTCATGGAAGGATAATAAAAAAACCTGGCACGTAACAGGATGTCTGGTCATAAAGACACAAGATCCTCCCAGTGGCCAATTGGAACACAGATATAACCATGTAACACCTAAACTACATTTCCCAGAAGCCATCTCTTAAGGAGACAGCACTTTAACCCTTAAAATGCTAAATGTATGCTCTGGTCAGAGTTACATACTGGTCCAGCACACTCCTGGTCATGGTAAAGAAGGCAGATAGAGAAATTTGAATGTTTCTTAGCTCCTCTTCAAAGTTCAGCTGCTTGACAAGGTCTCAGATTCAGGCTGATACTATCTTCTCTAGCCCTCTGCCCAAAACCAGAAAATATCCTTGAGCCAGTTCTGCAAAGCCATGCCAGGGATCTAGACATCGAAACAACTTACAGGCTGTTTGTATGTTTCATTTTTGTACCTTGGATATTTTTTCAAAATAACATGTCTCCACAACCCGTATTGTGAGACAGAAAATTTGAATTGTCTCAAATCCAGTACTTTTGATGGATCTTTTGAGCTCAAGTCAATCAAAAAGGGCAGTGGTGGCGTGCCAGAGGCGGCACTCAGAACCCTCTCTGTGGACACGGGCGCCATGCCCCAGCCCCACCTCCCCCTGCAGCCCCCTCCTCACCATTAGCCCCCCTGGAGGAGAGTCACCCCTGGGCATGGCCCACAAGGAGCAGCGCAGCCTGTCGGGGTCAAGACTCCGCACTCACACCGTCGCATGCAGTTGCTGCTGGGTGTGGGCAGAGGGTGTGGCTGCCATGGTGTTGCTGGGCCACCTGAGCAATCTGTGGTGGGCCACAGAGGCAGTGAATGGTCCTGTGGGTGGAGTGGGGGGGCCGCATGGGGGGTGCAGTGGGGCACATGGCAGGGTGGGGCAGGGCGGGTTTTGGGCACTCGCTCTCTAAAAAATTCGTCATCACTGAAGTAGGGTATGATTTAAAATAACCCATGACAAATTGTTGGAAGTGATGGGATCAGCTCTGATTCAAGGGGGGACTGTATACGGAAAAAAATATTAACTATTAAAGAAGGGAATTTGGCCCTCACAGACTGCAAGGCTTTGCAATCAACAGCCAACATTCTGGAGGGAGCAATCAGACCGGTCACTGGAGCCTTTCTCACACAAACAGGGATGGAAAAGGTAGAACAGCCAGAAAGAGGGCTAGATCCAGAGACTTGGCCTAATACCAGAATATTGAGGCAACAGCAAGAGGTATCAGATAACCTCTAATAAAGTTGTGGAGTTTTTTAACCTAAAAGATGGTTGAAGAATAATGTGATAATTGTGTTCGATATTTTGGAATATTTGAAACAATGAAAAACAAGCAAGAATATTTCTACATGCAGAGAAGCCCTTTGACTATTTCTACTTGGCAAAAACCACAAGCAGGATTAGGGATCCACCTTATTCTGGTTTGCACTTCTTGTTGTTGGTGTTAGTTGCGAAGTCGTGTCCGACCCATCACAACCCCATAGACAACATTCCTCCAGGCCTTCCTGTCCTCTACCATCTTCTGGAGTCCATTTAAGCTCATGCCTACTGCTTCACAGTGATTCCATCCAGGCACCTCATTCTCTGCCGTCCCCTTCTTCTATTGCCCTCAATCTTTCCCAGCATCAGGCTCTTCTCCACTGAGTCCTTCCTTCTCATCAGGTGGCCAAAGTACTTGAGTTTCAACTTCAGGATCTGGCCTCCTGAAGAGCAGTCAGAGTTGATCTCTAGGACTGACCGGTTTGATCGCCTTGCAGTCCAGGGGACTCGCAGGAGTCTTCTCCAGCACCATAGTTCAAAGGCCTCAATTCTTTGGCAAATTATCACATTTTATGAATTTCTGACAAGCAAAGCCAATGGGACTGACAGATTCATTTCACAACTGAGTTACTAGATTACCTACAGTGATTCACTGTGGCAAGAAAAGTCGTAAAATGGGGCAAAACTCATTTAATAACGATCTCATTTAGCAACAGAAATTTTGTGATCAATTGCAGTCATAAACTGAGGACTATCTGTATTTTTATTGAAACTCTTTTTACACTTCCTTCACGAAACTGAAAACACCAGCCTGAAGATGACGAATGGGACTTCGTCGAAACGTCGCCAAGACAGTTCCAATTTTACGCGGGAGAAAACCCGAATAACCAAAGACATATATGTGTGTGTGTGTGTGTGTGTGTGTATGTGTGTGTATCAATGTATCCTGTGTGAAAAGAGCAAGTAGAAAGCAAGCGAGATGGGCAGGAGCACGAGATCGGTGTTTCTAAGCACACGCCGATTCGCGCCCCTGCCCATCTCGCTCGCTGGTGCCCACACAGCTCCTCTTGCCCCCCTGCACCCGTCATTAATCCGCCACCATGCTCCTCGAAGCACGAAGCTGAAAACACCAGCCTGAAGATGATGAATGGGACTTCGTCGAAACGTCGCCAAGACATTTCCAATTTTACGCGGGAGAAAACCCGAATAACCAAAGACCTACATACAAACACCCGCGAAAACCTCAGAAAACACACACACACACACACACACACACATATATATTAACAAATGTCCATAAAATATGACTCCTGGGCATGTTTATAATACAAATAAAGGCTCAAGGCTTGCTTGCATACTAGCTATAGGGGAAACATCAACAACGGCAATAGCGAAGGACACATAACATGGAGGGGGGAGGAACATAAAGAGAGAGGTGGAACCATTACTCGTTCACACAGCAAATAGGTAGAACAACGGGAAACGATGGAAACAGAGAACGATAGAACAAGGGAGGAGTGTAGGAGTGCCCAAATATGTAACGCCCGTACAAATGCTATTGGTAATAATAGGGGAGTGAGAGATAAGGACATGAAACAGAGGGAAAACATCGACCCGCAGCCTGAAGAAACACAAGGATATAACTGTGATCCCAGTGGGAGTTATAATACTGACAGAGGGGAATTAGACACCCCCAAAATATATAACGGAAAGGGGAATGGGAGAACTAATGGCATTGGAAGAAAGGAGGAAAGGGTCAACAATAAAACGGTAAAAGGAGTGATCCGGAGGAACGATGAAAGAAAATGCAATGAGAGTAACAAGGAAACATCTAGAACACAAACTGACCGGCCAGGACCAGTGACGCGGTCCAAGAGCCGGGTGCAAATGTCAGCCAAACCCATTTAAGTCATCATTGTTTACTGGCTTCTCAGCCCTGATGATGTTGGGAGCCTCCCGACAAAAGCTTGGCGGTTTTAGTAAAGTATATTTTTATATCTATATTCTCCTAGGGATCGCATTTTTATTTGTAATATATATATATATATATATATATGTATGTATGTATGTATGTATGTATGTTCTATTGCTTGTGCTTGAATTATGTTGAATTCCAATACAGGTAGTCGACTTATAACAGTATATCTAGTCAGCATTCAAATTTACAACCGCACTGAAAAAAGTGACTTATGACCATTTTTCACACTTACGACTGTTGAAACAGCCCTTTGGTGACGTGCAATACATTCGGATGCTTGAGAATTGACTCACATTTATGATGGTTGCATGAGAGTCCAAAGGTCATGTGATCACCTTTTGCAACCTTCTGTCAAGCAAAGTCAATGTGGAAGCCAGATTCGCTTAACAACCATGTTACTAATTTAACAATTCCAATGAGTCACTTAATAAATGTGGTAAGAGTCATAAAATGAGACAAACCTTGCTTAACAAATTTCTTACTTAGCAACATAAATTCTGTGTTCAGTTGTGATCATAAGTTGAGGACCACTTGTACAAGTTAGGTCATTGGTTAAGGAATGGAATCTGGATCAGAGCTCCCATCACTAAGTGATGCGGTCATAAAACGTGACATCGCATAAGCCAAGATCAACGTTAGGAAGGTGCCAGCGCTTTACCTGCTATCCATTAATAAAAGAAAAACAACAGAGAAAATCGCAGAGCAGATTTAAAGACAGCCCAGGGTTTGTAAGAATAAAAATATTGTTGTATCTAGGGCTTTTCAACCCATGGTACGCCTACCACCAGTGATACTCGAGCACCTGGCTGGTGGTACACGTAGGACGAATTGAACAGCACTGTAAAAAAAACGTAAAAGTGTAAAAGTGGATGAGGTGAAGCGGCAGCAGCACCACACAGGCTTGTGGCAAAGTCAGCTGGAATTCCACGTTGCCTGAGTCCTACCAAGAGCCCAGGATCAAAGTGCGCAGCTCCAGCTGATTGGCGGCAACCTTGGGGGTAGCAGGCAGCCTCACTCAGCGGAGATTCCGCTGGAGCTGCATGACGCATTGCCTGGGTCCCCCCACCCCACCCAAATGCCCTCACCTCCCCCAACCGTTTTTTTACTCACCTGCTTTCAGCAGCGTTCCCTTTCTCCTATCCTTCTCGGTCTTCATGTGTTTGTGAGACAAAAAAAAAAAAAAAGTCCCATGAGACTTTCTAACTTCTCGCGAGAAGTTAGAAAGTCTCATGGAACTTTTTTTTCTTTTTTACCCACAAGCACATGGCGAAGGCAGAGAAGCAAAAGGAGAAAGGGAGTGCAGCTGAAAGGTGAGTAAAAAAATGCTTGGGGGAGGCGAGGGCATCTGGGCGGGGGCGCCAACCTTACCCTGCATGGTGGCGGGTTAATGGCGGGTGCAGGGGGGCAAGAGGAGCTGCGCAAAGCGAGGGGAGCCGGGCAGATTGTGGGCGCTGGCGAGCGAGATGGGCAGGGGCACGAATCGGCGTGTGCTTAGAAACACCGATCTCGTGCTCCTGCCCATCTCACTTGCTTTCCACTTGCTTTCTATCTATCAACAGCTTTTGACGCCTTTCCGTGTCTTCTGAATTTTGTTTCTGCAAGCGAGATGAACAGGAGCACAAGATCGGCGTTTCTGAGCACATGCCGATTCGTGCCCCTGCCCATCTCGCTTGCTTGCTTCCCGCTCGCTTTCTGCAAGCATCTTCCAAGAGCCACACTGGTCCCTGGTCTCTCCCAGCTTAATAGAAAGCAAAAGAGGATTTCTTGCATTGTTTCTGTGATTGGGAGCTGTGGCTGTTGCAGTTATTTAACCATTTGACGTTCCAGGGCATCCTCAAAGTCAAATTCACAGGGAAGGGATCCCTTCTTGACTATCAGATCTTTTTCTCGTGAAAATTCAAGAAGACGGAGGAAGCCTCACGTCTCCACTCCAAAACTCCCAGCCAGCCTGCTGGCCTTTTGAACTGCCCTGGGGTTAAATATGGCATTTATGGACCCGGCCGGAGCGAAGGGGATGCGGGATCAAAGCCCTTCTTTTGGCCACAAAGAATGCAAGCCAGGCGGGATTTGCCCGCATGTTATGTGGGCTCTTCCTCGGGACTGGCTGCAGCAATGAATGAGCCGCTTCCCTGCTCGCTGCTTTTCTCCGGCTGCGGCCGCATGCAATGCACCAGAGGGAGTCCGCCAGCCGTGGTTCTTTCCCCGCCCCCGTGCACTCCTCCGCTGCATGGGCTCTCCTCCCCTTGCGGAAGAACAGCGGCTGTGCTGGGCTCCCGGCTGCACTGAGCGCGACCGCCGCTCCTTTTCAGAGGAAGCAGCCAAGGAGAAGCAGCAGGCAGAAACCGCAGCAGACTATCTTCTGTGGCATGGAAATGAATATTTTGTATTTTATCAGCAGAAAGCTTTTTGAAAGAAATCCACTTACTATATAAAAAAGGAAACCTCTGCAGTTTTTTAATTTTTCTTTCAAACCTCTTCTCACACTTCCTTTATTGATATGGTTTCTCCCGAGTGTGGATCCTTCTATGTGAAGCAAGAGTGGAATTCCTGGCAAAGCTCTTCCCACACTCCATGCATTGATATGGCTTCTCCCCTGTGTGGCTTCTCTTGTGGGAATTAAGACTACTGCTACTAGTAAAGGTCTTTCCGCACTCCATGCATTTATAAGGTCTTTCTCCTTTGTGATTCCTATGATGGATTATAAGAGAATGATTATAAGGGAAGCTCTTCCCACACTCCAGGCATTGATATGGCTTCTCCCCTGTGTGGATTCTTTTGTGGCAGTTAAGACCACTGCTACTAGTAAAGGTCTTTCCACACTCCATGCATTTATAAGGTCTTTCTCCTTTGTGATTCCTATGATGGATTATAAGAGAAAGATTATAAGAAAAGCTCTTCCCACACTCCACACAACGATATGGCTTCTCTCCTGTGTGGATTATCTTATGGGTATTAAGATGATCGGTACAAGTAAAACTCTTTCCACATTCCGTGCATTTGTAAGGTCTTTCTCCTGTGTGGTTCATTTGATGGATTAAGAGAGACTTAGAATAAGAGAACGTCTTTCCACACTCCATACATTGATACGGCTTTTCTCCAGTGTGGATCCTCTTATGGGAGGAAAGATTACTATTCCTCCTAAAATGCTTTCCACACTCCACACATTGATATGGCTTCTCTCCTGTGTGGATCCTCTTGTGGGAATTAAGGCTACTGCCACAGTTAAAGGTCTTTCCACACTCCATGCATTTGTAAGGTCTTTTTCCTTTGTGATTCCTATGATGGATTGTAAGAGAGTAATTATAAGAGAAGGTCTTTCCACATTCCAGGCATTGATATGGCTTCTCTCCAGTGTGGATCCTCTTATGGGAATTGAGACTACTGCTACGAGTAAAGGTCTTTCCACACTCCGTGCATTTATATGGTTCTTCTCCCACATCAATGTTTGTACGGTTATGAAGCCAACTGACCCTTGGAAAGCCTTTTTTCATTCCACTTTGTGATTTCTTTATTTCATCCCTCTTTGGCTGTATCTGATCTGAAAACGTCCCTTTTCCCTCTTTTGATTGGATCGCTTGGCATTCTTCCTTGCAATTCTTATTTTCTTGCCCATTAAAGCCTTGAAAAAAGAAAAAATGAAAACTGTAGCAAGAATAGAGGAACAATCAAATCTTTTCTTCCTGATCTAATCTTTGACCTGGGACTATTCCATGGTGCCACAACTCCCTAAGTGCATTGGACACTGGATGTTGGGGAAGCGACATGCCCACCAGCTACCCAACTTCAATGAAAGTCTCATCTCTTGTCTGCAGGGAAGAATCTTTGAAAGCCAAGGGAAATTCCTGGATGGCAATAGCTCCCCACCCTCAACTTAGGCTTGTGTACACAAGTGGGCACATCTCTAGGAAGGGAACACCCTCTCAGGGCTCATCCAGTCCTGCTTACAGCAGCTCACACCCATCGGGGAGCCAGTGACCAGGGTCAGGAGTGGATACTGAACCCCTGGTAGGCTGGACCTTGCTCAAGAGAGGCCACACCATCCCTGCATGCAGCCTCTCCCTCAGATTCTGGCTAATATCTTCTATGGCACGGTAATGAATATTTTGTATTTTATCAGCAGAAAGCATTTTTTTAAAAAAAAAACATATCCTTTATATAAAAAGGAAGGCAAGGCAGTTTTTCAATTTTTCTTCCAATAAATTTCCTTCTTCCATAAAGTCAGTTTGATCAAACGGTTAAGGTACCAGACTAGAAACTGGGTGACTGGGAGTACTAGTTCTGCCTTAGGCATGAATGCTGGCTGGGTGACTTTGGGCCAGTCTCCCTCAGCTCAACCCAGGTCACAACAGGAGGAAGAAATATTGGGTTTGTCCACTAGCTTTATTATTTACAAAAAATTAAGGCAGAGTATCAATAAATGAAGTTTTTATCAGAAATATCATCTAAGCCCCCATACTAGGCCTTCTCTATGTTTCTGAGCACAGATAGGGATTCTTACTCAGAGAAGCCAGATTCCTGGAATTCTCCAGCATGACGTCTCCGTGAAGCGCTTTTTGGGTAGGGTCCAGGTGAGACCACTCCTCCTTGGAGAAATACACAGCCACTTCCTCAAAAGACACAACATCCTGAAGAAGAAAAGAAATTTCCCTATTAACAGATAATCCCAAGAATAATTTGAGGGTTTTCTTCCATTAATTCTAGGAGAGAGATCCAGTGAACAAAATGGGCATCCTCTGCAGAATTCAGAGTGAGATCTCACCGCTTTTGGCTGATGACATAAGTGAAGCACATGGATCTAGTTCAGTGGTTCTTAACCTTTCTAATGCCGTGACCCCATAATACAGCTCCCCACGTTGTGGTGACCCCAGGGGCGTGGCCAACTGGGTGTGGCCACCGAGTGGGTGTGGCCACCGAGTGGGCGTGGCCAAGTGGGCATGGCCACCGAGTGGCCGCCGCGGGTCCCATTGCCGCAGCAGATGCACAGCTGCCCTTCCTCTTCCTCGACGCAACCTTTCGCCTGCCCCAATGACTCCCTCCCCTTTCCGGGGTCCAGGCATACCCTCCGGAGCCCCGGCATTTGCACCCTGCAGGAAGCGCAGGGTGCCCACGTAATCCTGCTCGGTTGAGGACACAGAGGCGAAGACGCAGCTGGCGGTCCGTATCCTTTGCTGGTTCCAAAGGGAGAGCACTGGTGCCGGGGGCCACTGCCTCCACCGCCGCTGCCACCGACGGTTCAGATACCGACTGCACGTCCATGGCTCCTGCCTGCCTCAGCTTCCAGAAGATCATCCCGACCCCATTTCTTCACTCCGTGGCCAGCTTTAGGCGCCCTCCATCCCCGAGGCGCACGCCAAACGCACCACAAGGATCGAGTCTCTCGAGCTCGACCTACCAACAGGAGCGCCGCGCTGGGACATGGTGAGGAGGCGGCGTTGGCGGCTAGGAGGAGCAGAGCGCAAACAGCGCTGAATGGAGAGAAGTGTTTCTCTCCATTCAGCGCTGTTTGCGCTCTGTTCCTCGTAGCCACCACCGCCTCACCATGTCCCAGTGCGGCGCTCCTGCTGGTAGGTCGAGCTCGAGAGACTCGATCATTGTGGTGTGTTTGGCGTGCGCCTCGGGGATGGAGGGCGCCTAAAGCCGAGCGGGGAGTGGAGCGTGCGCCAGCAGGAGCGCCGTGCTGGGACATGGCGAGGAGGCGGCGGCGGTGGCTACGAGGAGCAGAGCGCAAACAGCGCTGAATGGAGAGAAGCGAGTGGTGAGTGGAGCATGCGAAGGGACTTGACCAGGGCAGAGGGCGGAGGGGAGGGGAGGGTCGGCTCCAGAGGCGGAGGTGGCGCTCAGAAGTGAGGGAGGGGGCGGTGGCGAGATGAGCCCAAAACAGTAGTCTGGAGAGCGCAGCAGGCGGCGAGGGGAGAGGCCGGAACAAAGAGAGAAGCGGCTGGGAAGCCGGAGAAGCAGGGAAGATGCGGGGATTTCTACGATAGGATGCAAAAAAAAAACAAAAAAAACCCTTGCCTTGGCACGTTGGCGTGCCTTTGCCCTTCCGACCCTAGGAGAAGTTGGCTTGCAAACTTGTTTGCGGTCGGTTTCTCAGTTTGGGAGACTGCGTGCGTGTAGAATGCCATGCAGTACAAAAACGGTAAGCTTTTTGTCCGCTTTATTGGATAAGAGGGGGAAGCCATTCTCTTGCGGGATGTTTCTTGCACGATTGGTTGCTGCATTTTGCTGCACGGAACTCTTGTTCCGCAAAGGCTTGCATGGAGAAGCAGTGGCTGCTTCCTTTGCAGCCAGCCAGGCAGGCCAGAGAGGAAACTTACTGTTTTTAGTTGTTTTCTCTCTTGCTTTCCGCTGCTTGCTCTCTCTCGCTTGTCCTCTGTATTGCTTTCCTCCATGTGCTCCGAAACTTCCTAACTTTAAATAGAAAAAAGCTGCGCATGCGCAAAGAGGAGGGAGGCAGGAACGGCACTTTCTATAGCCAAATAAGAGGAAGTAGAAGAGTTAGAGAAAAGGGAAAAAAAATGGCGGACAGTGTGGTTTGGCGACCCCCGTGAAATGGTCGATCGACCCCAAATGGGGTCGCGACCCATAGGTTGAGAACCGCTGATCTAGTTGAAGGTATTTGGAATGCCTTTCAGCATAGCCAACTAAAATAGTTTTCTTGGTCAATTGGTAGTTGGATCTTATATCCAGAGTACTATATATATCTATGGAGATTCTCAATCACCAGGTCACAGTTGTCCCAAAGATGCTTTTCAAAAGGCAAAATAAGGATTTGTTTGTAATGTGTGAATGACCCTGGGAGACAGAAGGAACAGCCCCAATGCTCACAACTGTCTGGTGAATGAAATCTGATGGCAAAGCAGGACAGAAAGCATATCCCAAATATTCAGTGACCTGATATCAAATTTGTACTGCTTAGAAACAATTTTATACACTGAACTCTAGAACAAAATGAAATCCATCCAAGATTCATGGACCTTTTCCAATTTTTCTCCTCCTTACCTGAAGTAGAGGTTCAGACAATCCTTCAGCTCCGCCACAAAGAGGAGGTGAGTCTACAAATTCCATGGACAGCTTTCTACTCTCTGTGAGAGAGAAAAATGGGGGAAGCAGATTTGTTAAAGAGAGAGATTGTAATGATGTGCAGCTAAAGAATCAGCTAAATGTTGAAATCTCACATCACATAGAAAGACCTTCTGTTACCTGGCGTGATGTCCTGACTTTGACCTTTCTGGAAGTTCTCCCCGAACAGCAGCTCTTGAGAGGGTTTGGATGAATCTTTCCCCCCCTTGGGATACTCAGTTGTAGCTTCCAAGGATTTCTGGAGATGATGGGATAGAAGAAACAAAAGAAGAGCACAGAGATAGAAATGAATGATCATACTGCAGCTTCAAACTACTACAATGTCCACTGCTGAAACCCGAAACAGAATGGAAGAATTGCCACAAATACATCCTCTGGAAGAATAGAACAACTCACTTTAGGAGTTAATAATTCCAGAAAACTCTGACAGAAAGGAATTGACAAATTCAGAGAGATCCTCTTTAGACCTGTTAAGACTATATTCCCACACCTGGAACTCTTCTTTCATCTTTTCCACATCCACGTTCAGCAAGAAGCCTTCGGCCAGGGCCACCGCCTGGGAACTGGTTTCCACTCCACACTCGCACACCCATTTCGCCATCTCTGGTGGAAGGACAGCCAGGAACTGCTCCAGGAGCACCAGGTCCAGCATCTGGGCCTTTGTGTTTATTTCTGGCTGCAGCCACTGACAGCAAAGGCGGTGAAGCTGACTGCAAATATCTCGGGGACCCCTCCCCTCATGGAACTGCACTTTTCTGAAGTGACAGCTTTGGACCTCTGAACTGTTGGCTTCCTCTTCTTGGTTCTTCTGCCCAGGACTTGCCCCATTCATCTCAAAGCTCCAAGACTGAACAGCTGCAGGGCTTTTTCCAGCTGGGCGTTGTCCCTCCATCTTCTCTCTGGTCTCTAATCCAGCTCCAAAACAGACTGATGGATCTGCACAGGTCTTCCTAATCAGAAGAGGTCTGTCAAAATTTCCTAAGTCCATTTAGCCCTCTTCCTACACAAGATACTTAAGACTCAAGAGCAATCAGGAAAGATTTCCAACTTACGTATCTGAAATGGAAAAGAAAATTCCAGAAATACAGGTTGACCAACTTAACAACTGAGCACACACAAAAACTGAAAGAAGAAATTCTTATGAACCCACCAATATCTGGGAAGAGAGGTGAAATCTTTGTAAGTAGTGATGTATCTCTGTGTGGAGAAAAATCTGTAGTAACCTTCTGGATCAACTTCTTTCAAGGACTAAACAATTTGGATGCATACATTTAAAATATGTTTTTGATTTCTTATTCCTACTCATTTATTCAAATAATTTTGATGGCTACTTGCAGCATGAAAACCAACCTCTGTACAATCCAGATCATAAATGTCTCAGGTCACAAATAGCCATTGAGATGAATGGCTTTCTAAATCGATTTAATAGGTAAATCAATCAATATTTGAACTTCCAGTGTAACTTTAGCCAGCAGAACATTAGACGCCTGGCCCAAACTGCTATGGCTGCCTGATAAATAACAATCAACAAACTACCATTCAATTTAAACAGAAGAATACCCGAATCAATAAACCAGCTTAACATGATGTTTTCATTCACGCATCTCCTGGAAACAGGTTCCCCACTTTTAGTCTAATCCTGAATGGCTCCGACCTTTCTGGCGATCCTGATGTTCTTCCTGGAGGCAACGCAGCGCGTCCGGAGCTTTGATTCCTTCTCTGCCTGGCCCGTGCATGCACAAGGGCGGCAGGGGAACATGGGACCCCGGGCTTCCCCCTTCCCACGCCTCCGAACCTGATGAAGTTTTGGTTGTCTCCATGCACGGTCCAGCCCGTGAAAGAAACGTCCCCCCACTTACTGAACTCCGGAGTCAGGTTTTGATCTCCGTCCGTGCAAACTCCCTTGCAGCCTCTGGGACTCCTGGGAAGGCTTAGCCTAAGGCTCGCAGTGGGAAGAAGGCGGGGGGGGGGGAGAGAAAGAATCGCACCTGTAGGAAGGGCGGAAGCACTATCAGCTGCAAGAGCGCATGCTCAGTTCTCTCCTGAAGCGGGGGCAGGTGAGGGCTTTGTAACGGCAGCCCAGGGAGCCCCCTGGTGGATCCTGCATGCAACGCTAGATCGACGCTGCAAAGGAATAGGGGAGATCGTCATGTTCCATGCGGGCCTGGGATGATGGGCATTGGAGTATAAGGAAAGGGTCCCTCTAACATTCCCTGTCTCCAGCAGGCAACATTTTCTAGACTTTCCTTTTTTAACGTCTAAGAACAATCTGCCATATTGTGAATATTGACAAAATCTCTGTGGAGGCTCAGAAGAAACAGGAGCCTCTCTTTGAAGCCCAGGTTGTGTGATGTGGTTGTTGGCAAACTCAGTCCTGAAGTGAGGGAAAGGGGAGTGGCAGAGTCACAAACTAGGAAGTGAAGGGGTAGGAAAATTAAGACTTTTATTCATTTTTTAATTTAGTGAGTTCAATTATTACAGCTGCTTTTTCAAATTCTTGCCTCTGGGCAGCCAACTGTGCTTCAAAACAGCAAGTGGCAGCAGCAAAGATGAGAATAATCATAAAGAAACGGTCTTCTTTGAAAAAAGAGACATAAAAAGTAAACAAGTTCCAAAATGGAGAGACATTTCAAATCATGGAAGTTTTAGAAATTTTACCTCAAAACAAGGGTCCACAATGGAGAAATGAATGGTGTCTCATAGATGACTGGAGAAAAGGTGGAATTACAAAATGCCGGAAGGCAAACCTTGAGGAGTACACGTAAAGTTCAAATGCTGTGAAAGAAAAAATGTAATGGGAAAAAATGACATAATGGCTACAAAACCAAAATTGCTGCCCTTTCACAAGTTCGATCTAGAACCATCAATGAGCAGCATTTGAATAAATTGGTTCAAAGTAGCCTCAGTCTCTGAAAACCCGAGTGTTACCCCCTCAAAGTCATTCCCAAAACATTCCAGAAAACTTCAAGACTATGTTAAATGAAAAAATAACTATGATGGAACTGACAGAGGCAATAAAAAAACAAAAAAATGAAAAAACACTGGGACCAGATAGACTTCCGGCAGAGTTTTATAAATGTTTACAAGATGCATTAAGTTCACCATTGAAAGATGTATGTAATGAACTTTTATTGGAGGCAAAACTCCCAAATACATGAACAGAAGCAGTTTGATACCAAAATAGTCAAAAAGGTCAAATACTTGGGAATATATTTGACAGTAAGATGTTCAACCATAAAAAAAAAGATAATTACATTAAATTGTTAAATTAAATAAAACTTGATTTGGAAAAATGGAAGAATCTTCAACAGTCGATGTTAGGAAAAATTGTTACGGTGAAAATGAATATATTACCAAAAATATTATTTTTGTTTCAAACGATACCTATAAAACTGGAGAAAAAATTATTTGAAGATTTAAATTCTCTAATTCAAAAATTTATCTGGCAGGAAAGCTAGAATTAAATTGAAAATGTTACAAGAAGCTAAGGGAAATAGAGGCTTTGACTTGCCAGATTGGGTTTTATATTATAAAGCATCAGTGTTAACATGGATAAAAAAATGGATAACTTTTAGAAATAAAAGATTGCTGTATCTGGAGGGACATGACCTGCAACTTGGTTGGCATGCTTTTTTATGGTATGGGAAAAATAAAATACATAAATAATTCCAAAACCACTACATTAGAAATGCACTATTATTAACTTGGGAAAAAATAAAATGTAAAATTTATTTGAAAATTCCAGGATGGCTTTCAAAAATTGAAGCATTTGTACATCCAAATCTAGTCAGTCTCGATAAAATATGGACATACAAAGATATTCTAAATTCTGAAGGAACTTAAAATCCAGACGAGATGGAAAATCAGGGCATCGATTTAACATGGTGGTCACATTTACAAATGCAAGTCAGATATGATAAAGATATTAAACAGTATGGATTTTATAAAGAGCAGACTATGTTTGACCAGACATTAACTTCAGATGAAAAGTTAATTTAAAAAATATACAATTTCTTATTAAATTTCAAAATGAAAGATGAACAAGTAAAAGACACAATGATAGTATGGGCAAAGAATTTTGGATATAATATAGACTTAGAGAAGTGGCAAAGTTTGTGGGAAAGAAACTATAAATTGACAATGTCAGCTTCATATAAAGAAAACTTATACAAAATGTTTTATAGATGGCACTTGCCACCAACAAGATTAGCAAAAACGTTTAAAAGCATGTCAGAGAAATGTTGGAAATGTAAACGCAAACCAGGTACTTATTATCATATGTAGTGAATGTGTGTTAAAGCAAGGGGATATTGGACAATAATCCACACTTGGATTATGTTTAGAGAAACACACAGACTATAAATCTGAATTTTGTTTTACTAGGTATAATGCCAGAAAAACTTGATAAGCAAATTACATATTTGATTCTATATGTGATAACAGCGGCAAAAATTATATTTGCACAATATTGGAAGAATGAAGAAATACCACCAGAAGAAGAAATAATCAAAAAAATATTAGAAGTTCGGGAATGGACAGACTGACTTTAAGGTTGAAAGAAAAAGAAGAAACAGAATATGTTCAAACTTGGGATCTACTTTATCAATGGTTAGAGAAAAGAATTAGGGATTAGGAATTTAATTTGTATTAGTGAATAAGATACTCAGACAACACGTTTTTGTTGAATAATTATTATTGAATTCTGTTGAAAAAAAATAAAACTTAACAAAAGAAACACCGGGAGCCATAAAACCCTGCTGCTCCCCCCCCTGCATGAAGAGCTCACCACTGCTGCTTCCCATTCCCCCCGACGGAGTGCTCTGCCACTGCTGCTTCCCCCCGCACAGAGCGCTTCTTCCCCCAGTGGCAAAGATGGGGTTTGGGAGGCAGCGGCAGGGCGTAGTCCAGGCATGGTCCAGCAGTAGCAGCAGCAAAGCTCGTCCTCCCCACTCAAGAGGCCACCAGTGGCTCCTTGGCTTCGTCCGAGTTGAAGAAAGCAGAGACGTTAACGGGATTGTTCTCAATAAGGCAGGTGCACACGAGTGAGCAGAGCACCCGGGTCTTATTGAGAGCAATCCCACTGCTGCACCTATCACCCGACCTACTCCTCGCCTGGTCAACCGGCTGACACAAACCTTCACTGCTCTTCTCCTTGTCCTCCCCACTCAAGCGGCCACCAGCGGCTCCTCAACTCCGTCCAAGTTGAAGAAAGCGGAGGCGCAGCAGCGGGATAGTTCTCAGTAAGGCGGTGTACCCAAGTGAGCAACGCACCCAGCTCTTATTGAGAGCAATCCTGCTGCTGCATCTCCACTTTCTTCAACTTGGACGGAGCAGAGGCACCCAAGTCGCTGGCGGCTGCTTGAGTGGGGAGGACGAGAACAGGGAGGGTTTGTGCCAGGTGGGCAGCCAGGCGAGGACTAGGTCAGGCAATGGTGGCTGGTGGGCTGGGGAGGGGGGATCATGGTCGCTCAGGGGGATCTGCGAAGCCTCATGGCAGCTCCCCCCACCCTGCCCGTTTCCCCAGCTCAGTACAAGATGTTTGGAAGAAACCCCCCCTTCCTGCCAACAATCGGACCCCAGTGGCACCTTATTTCCAGCTCTGACGCGGTCCTCCGTCACTTCCTCTGCCGCCATGTGCAGTCCCACAAACTTCTTGTTTGTGGGACTAAAAAAAAAGTTCAATCCAACGTTGCAAGATCTTTTTTTTTCTGCGAGAAGTTGGAATTGATTGAACTTTTTTTAGTCCCACAAACTTTTTTTATGTGGTACTGCCCACGGTGGCGGAGAACAGGGAGCTGCAGCAGATGGGTGGGAGAGCCGCATGCGGCTCCAGAGCCGTGGGTTGCCAAGCCCTGGTCTAGTCAAAATCCCTGCTCACTTACCCCTTCTTCACAGCTGTCTCATCCTTTTGTTTTTTTGTTTTGGAGAGAGCTGCCACTTCCTTGATGACAATCTCCTCTGCGTTTGTAAAGGGGGGGGGATATCGTCACAGAAAGCTGCCCATTAAAAAAA